GTAGTTCCGACGAAAATGTATCTTGTTAATATCTTGGGGAAGTATATCATATTAATGTACCTAATATCACAAGTTAGCAGGAAATATTCGTTAAGGCAGCTTATTGTTGCCTAGTGATTATGTGAATGACATAGATGTTATCTAAACTACGAATATATTCAGGAAAAATAGTCCAACAAGTTGTATTCGTTTGACTATTTGAAATTATAGTCATTCGTTTTACTAAGCAGAAAATGACCAGCCAAGGCATTGAATCTGCTTTTCTGCCATGTGAAACATATAATTTCTTCTCCAAATTTTATGAAACCAATTTAGTGTAATTTTTTATTGAAAACTCCATTATTTTGTGTTTACCCAATGTCATTGTCAATTTTGATTACCAATTTGATTCAAATTTTACATGGAACGTTGCATGGCAACAAGTAAGCCTAGGCAGAGAAAGTACACCTTTCTACCTGTTAACTGTCATCAAAAAGCCACTTTCAATGCAATTCGGAGAAAAAGATCTATAATAATAATTGAGGTCAAAAAAATAATCGCTAATAAACAAGAGGTTGGGTACATGTGGTTCCATTTGGCTCCTGTATTAGTAGAGCGAGTGTGATGATATCGCTATAATTCAGGAGACTTTGAAAGCTAGTAATTCTGATTGGAATGTCAACCGAAAAGAAATGTTACCGTAGAAAATATCTTCCGTTCCTCTCAAACCAAGTTTTCATGCATATATAAAATAATAATGAATAATCTGTGATTTCATAAAATTATCACAATGAATCATCACCAAGAGTTGTGTCAATTTTCAGTTTCAGTTTCATTCAACATCAATTAGATTTTCGTATGGATAAATAATTACCAAACATGGAATGATTATAGTCTCTCATCACATTTCGCTGGAAATTGGAAGAACTAAAATGTTACCTTAAATCTACTAATTCTCCGAAGAGACAAAAAAAAATGTACGTCAACATTGTTTCTAACTAAGAGATATTATGCTATACCATATAGGAGTGAAAATTAAAAAAAATCAGTTTCTCCATGTTTTTTAAACAATCTGTACAGCACAGGTACCTCGAAGTTTGCACAAGTTTACCTGATTCTATATACAGCATGAAATATCATACAGGTATTTTCAGTTGAACAACGATAAATGAACTGTTATTCTGTATTTTTGTCCACAAATTTAGACACTAGTATTTTCATTTTACTACACATGAACCAACATAATAAGGTTAATTATGTACAATTTTACATAATGATGATCATTATGACGTATTTTCATCTTTCAGAATAGGAGAACTAACCCTGTCAGGATCTCATTGAGCTCCCTCTTTTCAGGTAAATTAATAAATTAAAATGAATAATTGTCACGAAAACGGAAACCGTTTATATACGTATATATACAATTATACTACTTATATATTCGTAAAAAAATATTGCACTAAAAATCATTTTAAAAAATAACAAAAATATTGCACTGAAGACTAAGATGTGAATCTTACGAACTAGAATAAAATATTGCACTTCAGTGATGAACATCCATCGTATCACCATACATATCTAATTATTCTATATTACAATGATGAGTTCCTAAGAGTTTGAAAATAATATGCACATTATATATGTACAGGGTGATTCGAACTTCCCACCCTTGGCTCATAACAGGTAAAGGAAAACTGCAAATGCAAACTTGGCAGAAGGAATTATGTTTGCAATGTTTTGCATTTTTATATGTTTACTACAATTTTTACTGTTATATGACTTACCACATGTGCATTTTATACCAAAGTGGCTAATAAACATTATTATCAATAGCTGTGTGTAGGGTACATTTTTTCGTATTCAAACATTCTCCAATCTTGTTCAAAATGGCAGAAATGGCGTCAGAAAAATGATGTTTTCCACAAAGTTACCATTTGTTTCTCTTTTCTGAAAGACCATATTTTTTTAAACAACTTTCATTCAAAAAGTTTTTTTCTATCTTAATTTTGTTGATTAGCTATGGGACTCGTAAAAATGGCTTTTGGTAAATATAATCTCAACTGACCTCGCCGTAATAAAAATCAAGTTGGCTAGCAAACAAATTATTTTGTAAACTCTATATGAATTGGGATATATTTTGCATTCATATCGAAACAGATTGAAATTAAAACCCGGCCGACTTGATGGTGGTAACTTATTTTTTTCTACCGTTATTTCTGCCGTTTTGAAAATTGTTGAAAAATGTTCGAATACTAAAAAATATGCCTTACACACAGCTATTCAATTCCAATTTTTCCTGTTATAAGCCAAGGGCGACAACCTGTACATATAGTGAAATTGTATTTAAAACTTCGTATGTTGGTATAATTAATTTTTGAAAAAATTTACGTGCATCAATCATCTATTTAAATTTTTGTGTATCAACTTTACACATAAGAAAGGATTATGTATGTGATTATAAAATCTGCTTGTGAGGTGCTTGAAAGTCGTAACGACGATATCTAAGGAGATATTTTGATATGAGTAGATGATCAATTTCTGAATCAACAGAGACACGTGAATGAAATTCCGTTGTCGATTTGTTCAGATTCGTTCAGATTGATGCATGTACTGATCCGGATAATTTTATTTAATTCAATGAAAAATTACACTGTATATTCGAAAAATATCCTATGATGTATTTGGCAATGTAGCTGATTGAGATTCAGTAACATAATGATTGTATTCTTGAAAATCATATTTTCACGAACATTGTCACATACATGTACATTCAATTGTACAATCATTAGAGTAATGAGAAAATCAAGACTATCTATCTTCAGATTCATTCAATATATTCTTGGAATAGCATTGGCACTGACCTGATTAATTTTATCATTGTCTAGATTATTTATGAGTATCATATAATAAATGCTTCAATCTTATGAAATAATTAAAAATACGTGTTCCTAAAATTAATATTGCACAACCGGCCACTTAAAATTATTATTATCACAAAATATTGCATATCTTGGAAATAGTAAATAAAAATATATTTAATCATAGTGTAGATAAGCAAGTTTTAGACCAATATGGCAGCTGATGGCTTGTACACCTTGGCTTGTACAGTGCTGCCCAATAAATTGGTAACGACTCTTGGGCGAATTGAAATATTTTTTGTCTAAGCACATGTACTATTCATTGCCTAGGAACGAACTGTCTCCCTCCATTAGCATTTTATGACCTGCTTCGCACCCAGAGGTGTTATAATAATTATTCGAACGTGAAAAATAACAATGACATAGTTCTTCCTTGGCAACTACAATGAAATCAATAGGAATCGATCTGAACTGCTTCACAATGATTCAGAATCCAATCTTGCAATAAAGGAATTTACTTTTTTGTCGTCCAAACTGGAAATGATAGTACTACTAAGAATGTGTTTTCTACAATCTACAATTCATTATTTAACCACACAAACCATCAAAACTTCAATTCGATGATATTTCATCTGATAATATAGAATGACGGACCTGATGGTATAAATGAATGAGTCAATAATATGGATATACGAACGTAAACTCTGCTAAGATTCTTACTAATATGAATTATCTATTTACATTATTGAAATATTTCGACAAACGTCAAAAGCGTTGAAAAACCGAGATAAAATAGACACGCTATTCACGTTAGTCCCACGGTTTTTCCCCATGCTTAAGACCCAAATGACATCAGATAATTGTTATCAGTCGCCATCTTGGTCTAGAACCGACTCTACACCTACACAATGGTTTTGAAAGGAAAATAAAGGAACATAACCCTCGAAGAAATTTATCCTGAGCCACTATTGTCACCCATTTTTCTCAGGATATATGGAAAGATCAGGAAAGATACAGTAAAATTGATGAGTCCTGTATCTTTCCAATTGCACGAATTTTATTCTTGTAGGGCTCATAATCACAGAGCGGCAACTATTCACAAATAATGAGTTGGAGACCTTATGGTTTCTTGTTGCTACTATTGAAACGTTTGTTATTGAAAAAACTATATTATCAGTATACATGGTGTCATGATCTGAGGGGGTGATGTTGGTATAAAAAAGGATGTAGTTTTTTCTGTAACCTAGATTCACCATAAAGAAAAAATCATTAGTTCAGCACACACCCAGTTGGTAATGATGAGGATCTACCGCATAATCTGATTCTTTCCTAAAATATATGAGATGAATACTATTTCTTCAACTAAATTTGAAATACCAACGAAAATGTTTGATTTTTAATAAAAATCTGAACTCATTCTAAACGTCAGCCAGTGATGACATACACGTGTCCAAGAATGATGTGTACTGCATTATACCATAACATGTTTCAAACTGGAATTTTATTTCTGATTTCTGATACGTGAATAGGAGAAAGGTATTTTGACAGTATCCTTCTTGAATAATGCTTTTTTTTCTTCAACAAGCCCATTGCTCATTTGGTTATAGGCATATCCTTCAAGTTTACTCAACCGTATGGACTTTTTTTTTATCTTGAAAAAACACATTTGAAGTGAATGATATGAAAATTACATTAGTTATGGAATGTTCTGTCTGCTTCTGAGCAATACATCATCCTCTGAAATTATGGCACGTATACCAGTGACACCTAGTATTCTATAGATACCTACCGCTCGGAAGTCATTTAAAGCAATTTTAGCTTTGTAGTTGACAGCGTATTCTCATCTCATTGGTTGCATTGTCAGAAAGCGCGTATCAAGGTCATAAAGCTAGAAAGTCCATGAATATTCAGGAAATAAATATAAAATTGCTGCTATTTCATCTTATTATACAGTTTGGGGAACAGTGGTGCTAAAACAGTAGCGCAAATATAAAAAAGGTTGGTTTCTAGAGGATAAATAACCGAAATTCAACTGAATGTGACAGTCTTTCCAACTTTTTCATGTGAACAGTGAGCTCGCTTTATTCAAGCCTTCTGCTATATGCATAAGCTGGCATGTGAACGCGCCATCATACGGCATTTTAATCGTCCCACCTCAACAATTCAAGTTGGCAGCACGCCATCCGTTATCGTCACCGGAACAACCGTCGTACGACTGACGGTCTCCGAGTCGCTGCCAGAGTGTCCATCCTCCCCTCCCATCACCCCACTATCCATCGAGCCGTACCCCCGGAAATTACCGCGGTTGCTAGGCACCCGCCCGAAGAACACCGAATGAGTCTCCACGCTCTCCGCACCCGATTCGCTGTGGCCGTCTCCGAGACTCTCGTCTGTTTCGCTCCCCACCTCCGCCTGATCGGTTGCTTGATCCTTGCGTTTGAGTAAACGTGACTCGCATGAGTCCGAGCTCAGGTAGCCTGAGTCTTCGGGTTTCAGGGTTTTGCGCCAGGAGCGCAAGGGCTTTTTGGGGTTCTGGTCGAATCTCGGGTTGCTGAAAAGTGCAGAGTGGAGGATGAGGTGGTCGTTGGAGTCTTTTTGGAGGACGATGTTTTCCGTCTGGATGATATCGGCCATGGTGGTTTTCGTGGATTTTTGCAAGAGGCGCAGTAGTTGGTAGTCGGAGATTTGGTCAGGAGTGTCAGAGCTGATGTAGGATTGTCTATCAGCGACATTGGATGTTGAAAGGTTGACACTCCTGCCATTCCCGTTTTTTGGTGGCATTGGGGGTTTCATGAAGTTATCTGGAACAAGATGAATACATATCAGTACGAATCTTACTCCTGAAGAAATCAAACATCATTAATTGCATGACCCCCGTAGATTACCCAGATTATTACTCAACATTTGCAGGCTCTAGGTCCAATCTATCATATTGGAGATAATGTAGTTGTCGAAGAGAATATACAAGGTGAGTCAAAAGGAGGCCTACAAACTTCAATATCTCATTCCTCACTTATTTTGAAACGAAACGTCCCTATCAATTAAGAAAAAATTCATGATTCATTTTTTTTTCTTAGAGAAAACGCTTTCAATTCAATTTCTTGAAATACTATTTTAGAATGACCAATAAAATAAGTTGGACTTTTGAATTTCAATGTTCGTGATGCAGTGTTGTAGTTTTTTTCATCTCTTGGAGCGCTCGAAAGGAAATTCCTTTAATGTTCGAAGAACTACGTACGTACCCAGACATGTGAATAGACGAATTCAAGTTTTTCACATCAGTTGATATGCATATCTACATCAAAATAACAAAATCTCGACTTCAAAATAAAGATAGCCTGTCCTATTCTGACTTGACCCCATAGATTGAACCCGAAAACTTTTTATCTATATTTATAGCTTCTTCGACAAGTCAGGTAAGGGTGGGAGAACAAGTAATATTGAATTATCCTCAAGAAATTTGGTAATCCCAACTTCTTCCTGTTGAAGCTGTTAGTACATTCTAGAAACAAAACTGTGTATGACTCTTTACACTATTTACATTTTTTACAGAAATTCCGAAGTTATTTTCAACCCCTCAGAAAAACAGAGGTACCTCTATGAAGAACGTTCGAAATATTTTTATTCGAGGAGAATATCTTGCAGATAGAGAGACTGACACATAAACATACACCGTCGCACACACCTTATAATGGTTTCATTTGTCAGTATGAAACCCTAGACATGATTCTCATCCCTTATATCTTACCTAACTCAGCAACTCTTCTTGGAGGCTTCGGTTGCTCGTAAATGGGCGAATTGTCATGCGGCGGAGGCGGTATAACGTCAGGCTGAACGAGGTTCTCTCTCGACCGCTGCCTCCTCGAATGCCTCTCTTCCAGCGTCAAAATCCTACCCTTCTCCTCATCAGACATCATACAGTAAACATCCCTCTCTTCATTACGTCTACCACCAGTTTTAGCCTCATATATTTCCCTCAAACTCCCGAAAGCTCTGTTGAAGTTACCAGCACGTTGGCTAACGGTATCGCTCCGAAAACTACCAGTGGACCTCAGAATGATCTGATCAGAACGTTCTAGGGAATCATCGAAATTCTTCTCGTTGTTCCTCTTAATCTTGCTCGGGTTCCTTTCTAACGTATCAGGTTCATATTCGTCGGATTCGTGCACTGGGATATAATGGTCTGCGCAGTCCTCCACCTCGATGAGAAGCTTACCAGGCTTCTCTGGACCTTCTTCATACCTCACCTTTAACTCTTTCTTATCCAGAGTGGAATAGCGCGAGCCACCAGGCGTAGAAGGAGCGCTGCTATAGTTGTAACCGCTATTAACATAGACCTCGCTCACTAAGCTATAGCCGCTGTTGGTCTGCAGAAACTTGGGAAGATTGTAGGGCTGGCTCTCTTTCTTCATGACTATAAGCTCGTAGTCGTGTTCGTCTTCGTCTGCGAGGTTATTGGATTGAGCGAGATCCCTAGTTTTTCTGTTGATTATCGCATTCCTTATTGTCATTTCTTCTTGGACAGGTAGAGCAGTACTCAAACTCGGGCTGGGCTGCGAGGACGATACCTCTGCATAGTCCGAAGGTGTTGAGTAACCTTTGTTCCCCGATCGCTCTAGGCTATCAGTCTCATAATCTGCGACGGCGTTGTTGTCTACTTCTACTGGGCTTATCAGGTTTTTGTGGATCGTGAACTCATTGATGACAGCGTTCATCTGCTCCTTAGTCAGAGTAGCTATTTTCTCTTCAGAACGCTCGATCACCATTGCTTCTTGAATCATATCAGGCGGAGGGCCATGCAGAGAAACTCCTGAGTTATCCATGGGAACTGTATCATAATAATTCTCCTCTTTGGTTGCTATGTTTTTTATTGGTGGTGGAGGAGGTTGATTGGGCTTTCTAATCCTCCTATTTATCCCAGGCTCTTTTTTATTGCTGCTGTGAAAGCTAGAAGACCTGGAGTTCCTGCCAGCTATGAGCTCAGGGGCTTGAGCTCTACTGCTATCAACTTCGTTGTAGCTTTCTGGAGGAAGAGATCTGGTCGGTGATCTAACGCGTTTTAGGTTACCCTCGTTGTGATTTTGATCGAAGGTATCCTTCAGCATCGGTACATCTTCCAGCCATTTTCTGATGCTGTTCTGCTTGCTCTCGTTTGAAGAAGTCGTGCAGCTGTGGCAAGCTACGAGGGAAGGGATCTCTGGGAGTATTCCTGTCAACGATGGGAGATCTTGTGGTTCGCAACCAGGACAGCCGGTGCATGTTTTCCTTCTACTGTTCACTCTCTTCAGACTGATTATGCTGCTTCTTCTGCTGACGGGGTTGGTTAATCCGTATATGTTATCTAGAGGATAATGGCTTTCTTCTTCTGGGATGTTCAAAAGACTGGGAGTGAATCTTTTCGTGGTGAGTTTTTGTTTGGCTATAGAGATAACCTCACGTATTTTCGTGAGGAATTCTATTGCAGCTGGAGGTGGAGTCTGTAAAAGAAACACGAGGTCATTGAAAGGCGTGGAAATCATATGGTTGAACTTACGAGAAGCAACTGAGGGTCGAAATAAGCTGGATTGAAGTACAGTTTTTTTCTAGTGCTGCCGGTGAGTGCTTTGAGGTTATCCGGCCGGTCCTCTCGATTTTCGAGTGTTTCTGTGATGGATACATTCTCTTCCGGCAGTCTTTCGTTGGTAGCAGAATCTTGGTGGGAGGGTTGCTCGAAAGATGAAAATGTAGAACGGTGCGGGTTGAAACTAAGCTGTTGAGGATGTACCAACGCAGAAGTTATCTATGGGAGAAATGTCTTGTGAACTTGTGAATATACAAAATTGGGCGGTTTTATACTAACGTGTTTTTTCCTATCTTCGAAATGCTTGATGATATCTGGAGCATCGTTGTCGGAACTATTCTCATCGCTGTATCCCTGATCGTTTTGAATGAAATGCGATGTCAATGATAACAGAGGGTTGCTTTTCACAATTCCCTCTTCTATTTCTCGAATGCTCTTATCATCAGTCGCGATAGAATTGGATTTATTCCTTTTTCTCAGATGTAGATATAAGAAGACCGATGCTACGTAGATGAGACCTAACAATACTGAGCAAATACCTATGGCGATGTATTCCGGAACGCTCATTGAATCGTTTTCTTTGTTGTTTGCTTCTGCTGTGGAATCTTGAACGAATGCTACTTCGCTGACATCTGGAGCAAATTGAAAAAATGATAGATAGATACATTTTTTATTGTATTAAAATAATTACAATTCTCATCACAAGGGTTGGAGTTCGAGTTGAGAAACGGAAAAATTACATCAGTCTGTTTCCATAATACCATATCTCAAAATTCTAATAATTAAAGCGATAGAAAAAACGGTATTCATTATATGCTGATGGCATGGAAGATTTAATGACGCGGCCGGTGTTTCAGAGCCGAGGCTAGGAAACCAGCCAAGGCATTGAATCTTCTTTTCTGCCATGTGAAACATGTCAATTACCACTTTTCTCACATGTTACTTGAATAACCATTTCGATACTCACTACTCATTTGTTTAGCTGGTGTTCCAACAATTCTGAATGCGACGCATGGTGAGAAAATCATTTGAACTCTAGGAATGTCAGTAGCTTCTATCATTGACATCTCTCTGCACATGAGGTTGACCAGAACCAATCTTCCTGACATTCTATTTCGCAAATCTGGCTCACCATTCCACTATAAATATAATAAAATATTGACAATATCCAGATACAAAGTCAACAGGAAGGTTATCGGTTTTAGTCATACAATTTTTTATGAAAATTTGGTTATTAAATATCCCTTATTCTTTATTGAAACTAAAAGGGGGTATATTACTGTTGATGATGCAATGCTTTCATGATAACTAATAGTAATTTCGATTGGAATGGGGAAGACTACTGATTTTTTAAAACGACATTATCGTGAACTCTATACTGAATAACTACCACTGAATTAATTTTGAATTTTTTCATTCATGCTAAGACGATGAAAAAAATAAATTAGTATATGTCCATTTCAAAACACACAATTCTTGCGCCATTTGAAATTTCATCAATTCATTGGTTTGACTGGTGCGACGTCTTAGTTCCAACACTCCTATTGTCCTTGAACTGACCAATTACACTGCAACACTGCAGAATGACGAAGTATCAGAGAGAGATAGCTACAGTTCGGGACTAATACGTCACGACTCCACCATCATATTTGGCTGTTTGAAATATCGAATGAAATATGCTGATTTCAAAACGATACAGATTCGATTCCCTTCAACTTCAACTCATAATATTGATTGTACATAAAATGTAAATCATGATTCGTCGATTGAAAGAGGTTTGCACGGATTTCTTCCCTCAGTGGTCTTCCCCATTCAATTTCAGACTATACTACAAAATAAAGTGTCTCAGACTCAGAGCAAAGTGGAAAACCGATACAAATCAACGTCTCATTCCTTCTTTTTTCAAGAGATTGTCATTCTTGGTTTCCATAAAATTCACCAACACCATATATCATCAATCATACGAGCGAGAAGAAATCGTTACACACTAATAAATACAGTCATTTCACATTGTCTACAAATATTTTCTGGGACTCAGTATAATTTTCAACTTCAACACCCTGTATCTCGCAAACGAAGCCTTCTACGACTTTTTTTATTTCTTTAAGACGCCCTATCACCCTTCGAAGTGCGTTCCACATATTACGAAACACCCTGTATAACTATTTCACAAAAATAACTCATCACAGCTGACCTGAATACTAATCGATCAGGTAAGTATTGATTAATGGTATAATTAATATTTGATAATGATTTTATGTATATTCGGAGAAATATTTTTGGAAAGACTATCTTCCATCTGTTCAGCTAATGTGATGTAAATTGATGATAAGCAATTTTTCCAGGAGTAGGTTAATATTTTTGAAAAATTCAAACGTTGTTATTGTACGCAGAATTAACTTAATTCATAAGAAAGAATACCTCAAGCCGTTATTAGAAAGGAATTTGTCACCTGCACTAAATCGTGAAATTATGCTAAATATACGAATATGAATAATTAAAAAGAAGTCATTTCCATAATAATACTCCTTTTCCTATCGAAAGGAAATTTTACCAGCAACGCAATTTGAAGAAAGAATCCAGCACTGGCACCTTGTAAAATGAACAAAGAAACAACTCCATAATTATGGGAAGATTTGGAATTCCTCTTAAAGTGATGCGAATCACTTCGAAACAACTTAATATTTTTCCATTTTGAGATTATTGATACTATCTTGGAGCACAGTTAGCCCGTTAATAGCGTGACATTTTTCCCGTGAAATAATCTTCTCTATAACTTATGCTTATTACCAGTAAATGCACGTACTTAATTGACTTCTGATAAAACAAATACCATTTTGTCTCCAAGAAACCATCTCAATGAACGATTTAAATCGCTTTCTCTTTGATGCTGACCAGGATGAACAAAAGATGGTGTAGAAACTCCTATCAAATCCCATCTACTGTTTTTCTTGACCTACGGCCTACTTGACAGAAGGATTCTTTCCAATATCGCGGAATATAGATCGCATTTTACCCGTTAGATGGCGTAATCTCAACCAAAATTCAAGGTTGGTAGAGCTAATGATAATTAAAATTCCCCAAAATTACAGTTTCGTACTTTCAAATTCAATCTCATTTGATGTGAGGTTATGTTATGAATGTTATGATATTATTATTTCTGATGCAAGCGGTGTGTAAGCGCCGTTTTCCATTTTCAGTAATGAAAGAAATCTGTAAAAAGTTTTGCCATCTTGCGGACAACTGATAACCATTAATGCGGAATCTGCGGTCAAGGGTTTTGAGAGAAACAAAACACTGTTTGTCATTACACCATATTCTATCCACCTTGATGATGGCACTACAAAAGTGTAGTAGCAACATAGAATTTACAATTATTTTAGTACATATTGATCATTGAACCCGATATTTAATCATAATTTACCTGCAGAAATGTTCGTCCATCGTCCTTGATGAGCCTGAAAGGAACACCCGAGTCAACGGGGTTTCTTAAATCAACCCAACCATCTTCAGTCATGTATCTTGATCCCGAAACAGCACACACTGGCTTTTGCATGCCTACAAAGTAAAAACAATCATAGATGTCAATGTGGAAAATGCAATCGTATTCGAGATATTGGATTTTAATTATTAGGTATTTTATTTGCGGAACTACGTATTTAGGTGAACTGAACATAATGAATTCTGTTAATGAAACCATAATTTCAGAGTTGTGAATGTTGTGATGATGAAAGCCTAGGGGACATTCTTCTCCACAAAATATAAAAAATGTTCATATGAACATGCTAGGTCCGAAAATGCTTGGTTTACGAAATATAGAGGGTGTCCAAGTTTTAAAACATTCAGTTTAATATATTGAAAAATTATTGCTCACAAATTTGAAGATCGTATACATTTTTTGTATTTGTGCAATACATTTTTGGATAATATTTGGGCATTTTTATTTTTCCTTGTGAAGTTCTGAGATATGCCGAAGTATGGTATTGTCCGTTTTTCTCTTAAACGAAGCAAGCTAGGAAAAAAAATAGCAGGTGACAGAAATATTGTAGTTTTAGTGGGTTTATCTGAATGAAAAAAAAAAAACAGGGTGACTTTCCTGCTCCTACAAACATGGATCTTATTGTCGCATCAGACTCTTATAGATGGAAGAACCATGTAACCAGACAATGATTGACAAACCATCGCGTGTCGAATCTTACAATTTTTCTTCGACTTCCTCTTTTCAACCGAAGGTCAACACTTCAACACTTCAATTGATACTCGATCGTGAACGTGCCATCGGTATAATAAGTGAGCGTTTGTTGTGCATGTAATTTCTGTTGAAATTCATCGGGAATTAGTAGCTGCCATAACTGGTAGGTAGCTCGTGCTGTCAAGATTTAACGAGCTCATGACTTATTCGTGTATGTAGGAAGCGTTCCATTCATTCTCGAATGAGGAATTAATCGTCGAATTGCATTTTCCGATAACAGTAGGTATGCAGGCGGTGCCTGCCCACGTAGCACAATTTCAATTACTTATATCTTTTTCTTTTCTCTTCCGGCTCGAGTTTCTCTTCTCTCTCTTCTTTCTCTCTATTTCCTCTATTCTATCCCTTTCTACACACCTCTCTCTTCTCTCTCTCTTCTCTCTCTTCTCTCTCTTCTCTCTCTTCTCTCTCTTCTCTCTCTTCTCTCTCTTCTCTCTCTTCTCTCTCTTCTCTCTCTTCTCTCTCTTCTCTCTCTTCTCTCTCTTCTCTCTCTTCTCTCTCTCTTCTCTCTCTTCTCTCTCTTCTCTCTCTTCTCTCTTCTCTCTTCTCTCTCTTCTCTCTCTTCTCTCTCTTCTCTCTCTTCTCTCTCTTCTCTCTCTTCTCTCTCTTCTCTCTCTTCTCTCTCTCTCTCTCTCTTCTCTCTCTTCTCTCTCTTTCTCTCTCTCTCTTCTCTCTCTTCTCTCTCTTCTCTCTATTCTCTCTCTTCTCTCTCTTCTCTCTCTCTCTCTCTTCTCTCTCTTCTCTCTCTTCTCTCTCTTCTCTCTCTTCTCTCTCTTCTCCTCTCTTCTCTCTCTTCTCTCTCTTCTCTCTCTTCTCTCTCTTCTCTCTCTTCTCTCTCTTCTCTCTCTCTTCTCTCTCTTCTCTCTCTTCTCTCTCTTTCTCTCTCTTCTCTCCTCATTCTAGCTGGACATTGAGAGCGTTGATTGAGGTATTTTGAGAGTGTTGCCTAGCATCTGAGGTAAAATAGTTCAAATCCGGGTTTTTCACCTCATGATAACCTCTTGATGGTGTATCAGAGGGTACTGCCCCTTTTTAAATAAACCTCCTGTTCAAATTTCGTTTTTCATGTATTTCAATGATTCAAACAAAAAAACGAAGTGTTACAACTCTTAATAACAGTTTCTTCTCATCCTCATGACTTTATAGAACCTTTGACTGATGATGGGCCCGAAACATGTCTCCTTATGTAACATAACCATATTCACCTATGGGTTGCGTGCAAGATCTGTCAGATAACCGACCCTGGAAGTAAAACATTGAAACAAACGATTGAAATAGTTTTTCAAAATATGTTGGCATACGAATCGTATTTTAGAACTATTCATTAATTCAAGCATGCCATCTCATTATGCTGTTGTACAATGCACAAAAAATGCAGCGAGAGGCGAAGAAATCCGATTTTTCAGGTAGGTCCGATGTGATCTAAAATAAGGAATACAGTCACTCACATATAGTTTTCATATTGAAATATTGTCATTTCTCATTGGTCCCTTCTGCAATAGAAGCTTATACAAATACTCTTGAAGTTTCTAAAAGAAGGCAAGAAGATTGGATTCCTGGTGGGGAGGATGGTGGGAGCGTTTGATAGAAATTTTGGAATGTCTGCTCAGGAAAACGTTGGGAAAAGCTGCTCTTTACTCACGAGGAATTACTTACCACAATTTGTGATTGCGAAGCTGTTGTCAATCAACGACCATTAACTGGTTCAACTGAAAATCCTGAAGATTGACAACCATTGACTCCAGCAATGTTCTTACAAGAAATAAGAGAAGTAGGTGTTCAGAAGTGAATCGCGAAAGAAATTCAGAAATGAGTATTTGAGTACTCTAACTCTAACTGAAAAATAGAAAGATGTCCATCAGAAGAACCGTTCCAAGGGTTGGAGATTTGGGCTTGATAGAGATCGAAAATTGAAACGAAATGAATGGCTTTTAGAAATAATTATTGAGGTGATACCAGGCAAAGACAGATCAACGAGATTGTTGCGTTTGAGAACATCTGCAGGTAGTCAATTCTTGAGACCTATTCAAAGATTTTACCCTTTAGAGGTCGAAGAAAAGGAGGCAATGAAGAAGGTGTTAGATAAAGAAGTTCAATACGATAATGGAAAGAACAATAAAGTATCACATCCGAGCCAAATATCCGATTCTCACTCCAATAACGATGAGCATGAAGAAAATAAAGAAGAAAAAAGAGTTACTAGATCTTGAAGAGAGGTTAATCCTCCCAGACGCCTCAATCTTTGATATGAATATGGAAGAAAACAATGAATTTACAAAATTATTGTTTGTCTAGGTGGGAGAATGAAGAGGTTTCCTATCTATCTATCCCTTGTATGATTCGTGAGAAGCATTGACATGGGGGTGACAATTCCGAAATTTTGAGAGATTGTCAGAGTTGAAATTATTATTGCATCTTGTAGTTTCTTTCTGTAAATAAACAGATCTTTTGAAGCAGTTTCTTCATATTACGATTGTTTTCCTAACCTGCGATTGAGAAAACACAACACATGCAATCAAACGGGAGACTGGTCTGTAATGCTGACGAAATATGATCGCGTGTGCGTGGTGTAAACATTTTCACTCTATTAGCAGTATCAGCATCTATTGCAGAAGTGGCAGAAGGAATTCTAATTTCATAATGAAAACTATGTGAGATCGCTATTACTACCAGAAAAATCATATTCCTTCGTCTCTAGCTTCATTTTTTGTGCATTGTACAACAGCCCAAAAATCACGATTCGTGTGCCGAAATATTGTGAAAAACTATTTCAATTCTTTGATTCGAACAAATAAGAAAAGTGAGGTTGTGTATTGTGTTTCAATGTTTTACAGAAAAGTGAGGTTGTGTTGTCGTGGGAGATGATTTCGAGATGTATTCTTTCTTCAAATACCACCACTCCGTACTTTCACCAGTATGGACTTCTTCACACATTTAATGTACTATTATTGTGCAAGAGTAATGTCAATTTCAAGAGATTATTTTGCAACAAAAATAGACGACTTCTTGAGTTGTAGAAGAGTCTTTTTGCGCACTAGTAAACATAAATCGTCTCCATATGAATACCTATAATAACCGGTCAAAATTATTCTCCAACTATACCTATCCATTACTTTGTGAATCGTCTCGTAGCATCGGCTTTGATTTTTTTAATTTGACGAGAGGAACATTAATTGCAGCTAATCGACTTCCGCGTTATCTCCGCAAGGAGCCTTATGAACAATTGCTCAGCGAGCATGGCAACCGGCCGCTAGATCTCTATCTAGTAATAAACACTCGCAACCAAAACGAATGAAATTAACAATTATTATTCATAATTTCTCCGGAGCATAACATCCGGTCTTCCGCGATGATGTAGTATTGTAGAATATATGAGGTCAAGCTTGAACTTGACCATGATGAATTAATTCACAAAAAAATTAAAAACTCGGTTTGTATAGGTGGTTGTAATTAGACTGTTGTAGCGACTTTCAAATCATTGAACCATTGTCTGAAACAAATGACATCTATGTCTTGTCATATTCTTACTACTCTAACTGATGAGAATGAGAAACTCAGGATTGTGTCTCCTTCGCGAGAAGTACAATATTTGGTGATAGCATTGAGTGTGATAGTGATGTTGTTATGCGTGAGGAGTTCACTGAATTAGTATCGATAATCTTCGATATATTTTTGAAATTTCTTCTAGAGAAAAATTGTTTAGCAATAAGTCCTGTCAAAGAGAGTCGTCATTTGGAAATTAAATTAACTAAATTAGGATATTTATCTTCAGCAAAATTTATACGTCACCTACCAGGAGATCAATAATTCCATTTGAAGCGACATTTCCACTTTCTCCATGTCCACGTCGAACGGATCCATGAATATTTGGAATTAACATACACGTGAACAAAAATTCTCAAATCCGCAATTTGTGCTTTTTTTCTGATGCATACTCGTATTCAGCTTTTGGCGAAATCAACCTTAATAAACTAAAAATGTGAATTCAGATAACCACGCATCATATCCCAACCTCTGTTCAGGTTTGCCCTTCATATCCATCATGAATGTTTGCAGTTCTTCTCTCAATAATTCATAAAATCGTTTCAACATCTTGCATTACTGAGCCAGCAAACTTCACAATGAAAAATGAAGTCTCCATGTTCTGTTTTCGAGTCCTACACGGAACAATTGATATGTCCCCATTATGGTGCGTGAATTTATTGAACAGATGTGGTGTCATCATTTCTCCATGATATCTCTGATTCTATTGTAGCTAGATGTAGTTCAGATTGGAAGCATGAAAAACATCAACAACTCCTTGAAAAATGTCTTCTCTGTTTATTCTGAATTGTTTGGCGGCTGCTCGGATGAAAAATTGCTAGTTGCGCTGTATCAGAAAGATCGGCACTTCAACACATTTGTCCGCAACACCGCAACTTCGCTAAAAGTGACTTTTGAATTTTCAGTAGTATAATACTATAATTAGATACTCCAGAATATTTGGGTTATACATCGAATACTTCTTGCACAATTATGAAGAGTGTCAGTTTAACAGTTGAAGTGACACGTATTGATGTAATTAGGCAATCCAATGACCTGTCAAACTATGCACTGGTTGGTACACCTTGAAATTATTAATGTGTGATAAATTGTTTTCATATGCAAATTTCTGTTGGTATCATAAGTACAAGTCATCTAATCAAAGAAAATCACAAACAGTAAGTACTTTATTTCACTAGTCACATCATTCTATCGATTTTATATATGATATCAAACAGGCGCCATATCGATTCGAACCTCATTTGGGTTGCCTACAATGAAAAAAATTGTCGCTTAGGAAATACCAAACGTTTAGTGAAATAGGCGCCAGTCACTATACATTAATCAAATAATACCAATACGAAATTGTATGATACTGGATACAGGATTTGAAATTTTCGAATGGAACACCCTGTATATTCCTGTAGAAATGCATTCCTAAGTTCATTCTCTCTCATGTGATATCATGTTTCGTACATCGAAAGGTTGTAGTTTTTGAAATATTCACATTTCTACTTTGCCTCGATTTAATTCCGGCCCTGCCTTGTATACAATACCTACCTATCACATTTGTAATTAAGCTCTGTGGTGCAATGATGATGTTGTTTATTTTCCTTATAGATATTCCCATATATCTACACATTTATCATATTTTTTCATCTCGAAACAGATTGAATCCATGTTCAGCCTCCGCTACCGATGCAATCTGGTTATCATAAAAATCCGGTTGAGATGAATAATTACAATTGATATAATTAATTACCTTCCACTGGATTAAAATCCCGTCTTGATGAAACCCGTATAACTCAAAAGACATATGGCAAATTAGGTATATCAACGATAAAGAGATAAATAGCAGGTAACCGTTAAATGTATAGAATTCGTTAAATATTCCGAATACGGTATTCTAATTAACAAAAAACTATTCTTGTCAATATACTGAAATCTAGAAGGAATCTTAATAAAATTCGTTGAACGGTAAACATTCACCTGTGGGGAGTAAGATTGTAAATCGGTACTCACTCAGCAATTTATGGTCGTGTAATATGAGCTACAGGGTGATAGCATGATGGTATCATGAACATGTTCCTATTTACAAAAAATACATTGAATAATGTCTTCGGTAAGTAACTGTAGAAATATTTACTTTCATAATGAAGAGTCGTGATGATTCGAAATATTGTAGCTTGGTATCAAAAATATCTCTCAGGCGTAGCATTTTTTGTGTTTGATATACATTACCTGAAAGAGCTATTGCCTTTCCAGGGTGAATGATTTGGCCTTTCAATGGAAGGTAGACGAAAGGTATGTGTTGAGAAGTTGATCCGCCTACAAAAGGTGCCAGCACACATTCTGGAAAAAGAAAAAACAAATTTCAACAATCTCCAATGCACATAATTATAATTGCAATAAAGACCTATAGTCCAATAAAATGGTATTTGCACGTGAAAAAAATTGAAGTAGTCGGTTTCTCTGCGGTTTTATATGGTTTTGGGGGTGCTGAATCTGAATCTGGAGTTTGCAAACAAAATTTACTGATGGAGCGTTCCGAGATATTCGCAAAAACAGCAAAATTTTGCCCGGAAGTCGGAAACTATAAACTTTTACGGAAATATACCACTCTATGTTGAAGTAGATTAAATTTTCTATACAGGGTGTATCTAAATAACACCGAAAA